AAATACGAAAAAGGCTCAAAAATATTTCTAAACTATCCGAAATAGCTTACATTTACCCTTAAACTATATTTCGGCTCAAAACTACCCTTCCCGTCATACAATTGGGTCAAACATACCATTCTAATTAACAGAAGTGTGTTAAGTGTCATGTGGACACCACATAGATGCCACGTAAGCGCCACAATTTCATCCATTTCCACATAGGAATATTTTTGAGCCTCTTCCGTTCTAAATATATAGAAAATCAAGTTTTTTCCCTAACCTGTTTATACTCGTAAGTTTTAGAATGATGTGCCCTTTTGAAATTTTTGTCAATTTTTTTGCCCTTTAGGCTCGGGACTCGATTTTTTGATCTCAAGATTCTCCACCTACAAGGCTACAACATTAATTTCACTACATGCAAAATCATCTCGCTATCTAAATTGAATAGATAGCGAAACAAAATTGTATTGGAGTTGAACAAATTCAAAAAATAAGGAAAAACAAATTGTTTTCGACTCTGTAAACCATCACAAATCAAGTCATAATTCTTATCAGAGGAAGTACATAGAAAGTGAAGTTTCACAAAATTTTGAATGTATATGAAATGTATGTGCAGTTGCAATTATGTATATACAATTGAAAATATGTATACAAAGCTGGTTATACATATGTTTGAATGAAGACAATATCATTTTTGACGTACACAACAATAATTGTGTAAATCGCTTAAATAAATAGACACAGTAGACTTTATGTATAATAAAGTTACCTTATGACAATAAATGAATCAAATTATAAAAGTTATACATCAATTATATGTGCAATCTACTTCACGTATACACAAAATTGTGTGATAAATACGCAACTCTTTCTATTTTAAAGGAGTAAAAAAGTTATACGGTTAAACATTAATAATCAAAATTAACTAGCCGTCCAAAAATGACTTTATCAATTTCTTCCCAAAAATTCAAATAGTGAGGTAATATAGATGCTTCAAAACTCCAATTTTAATTCGAAGCCATTAGTCAACACTTTGAACAGCAACATTTTCGTGAAAACTTTTATTCAATTATATTTATCTCTTGTCAATATTATTTTTTCTTTTAAAAAAAGAAGAAGAAATAATCAACTTTTGATATGTTTTTTAAAAAAAATATACTAGTATAGTCGAAAATCAATGCCGACATCTCACGATTGATTAGTCATCTTCCCATTATGTATTTATTTATTAATTTCACATAAAAAGTAAGGCAAAAATCTAGCTCAATCTTAGTACGGAAAAAGTGTTATTTGTCTTTTTGTGTGAGTTGTACCCACCTTTAGTATTTTCTATTTAATATAATAATAATTGTGATTAATATAATATAATAAAAGATTTCTTGCATTATCTCCAGAATTAATTAACTTATTGACCAATTGTTCCTAAACCTCAACTGTTTCTTCCACTTAAAGAAATGTTTTGACCCCACAAGCTTGAATACATTATTGAAAAGTAGATTATTTCATCAAAAGTAAATTAATTTAGTCCAACAACGTAAGATAACAAATCAGTAAAATTCCACAAGTGAGATTTGAGACAGTAAAATATACGCAAATCTTATCACTATCTCGTGGAGATAGATAGTCTATTGCCAAAATAATCAAATTAAAGCAAAAATTAACATAAAATTGATCAAGACATATCAAATACTTACATGAATAACTAAGTTATTCATATATATAATTAATTCCTGCATAAAATAATAAATAGATTTTCTTACAACTAATACGTTTTAGGATTTATTATCCTTAAATAAATAAATAAATAATTAAGGGGACTATTGAACTGTATGTGTACTGAAGGAGAGGGACATCTTCGTACCCTACCAGGTGTTAAAACCAATAATAACAATAATTATATTCTACTTAGTACTAGTGATTAACAAAATATAAATATAATTAAAAGATATAACACAAAAGGATCCTATATTTAATATTTGTCGTTGAATATGTCATGCATGACATAATCACTTCATTTATAAAAAAATATTATTTTACCCCATTACTAGGAAGCAAATAAGCTAGGATCCACATGGTGCTACATGTTGTAAGTTATCAATATTATATTTTGAGGAATATACAGCAAGATGGGGAAAATATAATTAAATAAAGTTTTCTCAGATTTCATTTCCATCTAATTTATTAACTCATTTCATTAATAATAAAGTATTTTTTTTTCATAGCTAGGAAACCTAGTATGATTGCCTGAAAATTAGAAGAATAATATGGAACTTAATAATAGTTGATGACTTAGCAAGTTCAAAAGTATTATATATCGCCATGTTATTATATTATGTGTTTTGAATCAAGTTCAATTAATTTTCACAAAAAGGCTTCACATGGTAATAAAAGTATATATATATATATATTATAAGTAAACATTTTATTTTCAAATAACATGAATGTTCTCATATCTAACCAAATCATTTTCAACTAATATTTTTTTTTTGGGTCAGAAGCTACGAACTAATTTGTCACTAAATTAGTTGTTGTTGATATAAATTGAAATAATTCGTCCCTAATATGATGTTAATTAATAGAATTAACAACAAACTTTCTTATTTAGCTATAGAATCAACTCGTGTAATAAAAAATGGAAGAAGAGAAAGTACGCTGCTAAAAAAAATACTTAGCAATTAATGACGAATGCATCCTCCAGAACTGTCTATTGTATTTGCTATTAAAATATGTTTTTATCTCTTACATATAGTGTGTGTTTGATACGATGAAAGAAACATTCATGTTGAATTGATCAAAAATTTAAAAATTATAAGTTCTTAAAAATGAAAAATATGACTACTTTTCTAAAATTTATAGAAGTAGGAAAAATCAGTTCTACTAATGATTTTTCATATCTCTAACACACCGCATTTTCAACTCTACGCGAAAATCATCCTTCATGTTCTCGATTACGATGCAGTAGGAGATATTTTGTCTTTGAATTCTACCTTAAGTCTAGCCATCTGACAAGTTACGCAGTTAAATTAGTTTAGTAAAAGCCCAGTCAAACTGTCAGTCTCTAGGCAGTTAAGGAAAAAAGAAAAAGAAAAAAAGTGAAAAAGCATATATTATAGAAATCTTTACACTAGGAAAATAATCTATTCAAATGCTAGAAGTTACATAATTAAGGATTAAATAAACTTAAAGGAAGTAAAAGAATTAATATTGAATTAGTAAAAGAGGGGGTAAATGTTGGTGAGAATGGACATGAGTTAGTATGATTTAGTTAAGAATGTGCCTAAGACTAGAAATATAAGTTTTTTTTATCTCGAGTTAATAAAAAAATTGTCTCATAAAATATACTAATATATTTTTTTTTATGTATTTTACATCGAAGTAATTCATTGAAAAAACACATGGCAGAAAACAGATCTCAATAAGATAACGAAAGCTTCCTAATTTTTTCCTCCCAAAGCACTAAAGAAATGTGATGTTTTAATAGTGATTTGATGTCGGTGTCAAACTTATCAATTCATCACGTAATATCATTTATATATACTTCACATAATATTTCACCTAACATAATTAACATGTCAGTTTTTCACATAATGTATGATAGAAATCAATAAAAATATTTGTAATATTTATTCATGTTTAATTTTTTGTCAACGCTAAACTCGAAAATACCAAATTAAAAGTGATAGCAAGTGCATTTGAAAAAGGGTGTTTAATTGTACCAAAATACCCCGACATTTACTTTTCTAGAATGACTCATAATGAATATTGATTAATTAATTATATAGTTTATGGTTGTAACTGTGCTGCAACAGAAACCATTAGCATAAACCATTAGCTAGTAGCTAAGGAATCTACTAGCTAATTAAAGGGAGGATTAGATGTCATAAATCATAATTATTGGTCATTACTGTTTGGCTACTATTTCTCAAATCTCAAGCAAATTTATAAATTGTTTATACATAGTGGAGGGCTAAGAAATATTACTATCATAGCTTCTATAAATATCAAGGTAATATTCCTCAATATTTTTAAAAAGCTGAATATTACTATATTTTTGGATCGATTATTACAAGTTTGAATATTGAATGAGGTAGTTTGTTTTTAATATAGATTAAAATAAAAATTAACTGTTTTAATAATGACTTGAACGACCGTAGTTATTATAAAATTAAAAAATTTCTTGACCAATCAAACATGAGTTAGTTTTGGATGATGTTCAAAGTTTTGCAATACTGTAAAAAGATTATTTGACACGAAGAAAAATATTTTTTCTTAGAAAAACAAACTTCTTAATGAAAAAAAATAATAGAGAAAACAAGTTTCATAAGTGACATTTCAAGTTCATTGTTTCCTTTCCATCGATCCAACAATTTCAATCTCTACCACCCTCGAACTCCCACCCTTCCTATATAATATTTTACTAGATTATATATAAATATTGCATGACAAATTTTTTATTTACTTGCTAAACACTACAAAATAATAAAAAATCACTTACTTTCAACAAGATATTTTCTAAAAAAAACATTTTTCTATTTTATTTTTCTTTACTTACTAAACTCACAGTACACTTATTTTGAATACACAGAGGAGGAAAAAGAGTTCACATTTTGATAAAACAAAATCAACCTTTCTATTGTTGATGACACACCTGAGCCATTTTTTCTACAGCATACAATTATCACATTCAAGATTTGGAGATTCAATTATTTCTAATTATAGCACTATTCCATATAATATATATTTTTTATCTCAATTTAAATGATATTTTTTAATTTTTGAGATTTAAATAAATTTATTTTTTTTAGTAAATTTTTCATATATTTTTTTATATCTTTAATTATCAATTATTGTGACTTATAATATATTTTATATAATTTACAAATTGCATTTTAAAAAAATTGAAAATTTCATGCTAAATTATCAGTTAAGCTCAAACTATTTAACACTCAGAAAACGGAAAATGTCACTTAAATTGGGACGAAGAGTAATATATTATAATAATCCCCCTACCATTCTTCTCTCTCTTTACCAATTTTCAACGCACCCCACAGTCTTTTCTTTCTTATAAACTCTCCATTTCTGCACTTTTCTCTATTATCTTCTTCTTCAAAAAATTTTCTTCTTTTTATATATAATTTAATTAATCTAATGAAGATCCAGTGTGATGTGTGTAACAATAATGAAGCCTCTGTTTTTTGTGTTGCTGATGAAGCTGCTCTTTGTGATTCCTGTGATCATCGTGTTCATCATGCTAATAAACTAGCTAGCAAACATCAACGTTTCTCTCTTATTCAACCTTCACCTAAACAAATACCTATTTGCGATATTTGTCAGGTAAAGTAGTCAGAAGAGACGGATTCAGAATTTAAATTTAGAACTCTGAGTCATGAGTTTATTAATTTTTTTGGGTACTTATTAATTTTACAGGAAAGAAGGGCTTTTTTGTTTTGTCAACAAGACAGAGCAATTCTATGTAGAGAGTGTGATGTTTCAATACACAAAGTTAATCAACATACACAGAAACATAACAGATTTCTATTAACTGGTGTCAAAATTTCAGCGAATTCTTCGCTTTATACTTCATCAGAATCAGCATCAGCATCAGCAACTTCATCTAGTGCAAATCAAGATTCTGTTACAAATCTCAATAAGTCTCAAATTTGCACAAAAAAAACTTTGCCTGTTTCTGGTTCTGTTCCTCAAGAAGTGTCAGTGGCAGCTAATATTGGGGAAAATAGTTACACAAGTAGTATATCAGAGTACTTAGAGATGTTACCTGGATGGCATGTTGAAGAATTGCTGAATTCCTCTACAATTCCTACTAATGGTTTCTGTAAGGTTTGCATTTTGTGCTCATTTTCAATCTTATAACTAGTAAAATTATTGTCATGTGATCAACAGATCATTGATTCGAGCTGTGGAAATAGTCTTTTGTAGGCTATTGTACAATAGACCCTTGAGGTCCGGTCCTTTTCCACATAGCTGAAACTTAGTGCATCAGACTGTCCTTTTTATCGGTTGGTTATGAAATGCTATTATCTAATCTACTTTTTTTTTCTTGTAGATTGATGATAATGATGTGTTTCCGATTTGGGATACTGAAATTGAGAGCACAATGAATCCATTCTCACCAGAAAATATAGGTATTTGGGTCCCTCAAGCACCTCCACCTACTACTCCTCAGAAGAATCAGAACCAAGTTTTCCCTCAGAATATAAACTTTGGTGGACAAATTGAATTTAAGAACATGAAGGAAGTTACAAGTAACAAGTCAAGTAGAAAGTGGAGAGATGACAATTCTTTTGCTGTTCCACAAATCAGCCCATCATCATCTTCTATTTCCTTCAAAAGATCAAGAACTCTTTGGTAGTTGGATCCAATCATCTTTTTCTTTAATTCTCTAGTTTGATTTTTTTTTTCTATTTCTGTGGGTATTTTTTTATTTTTTTTTGCCTTTTCTTGATTTAGTTTGAGCAATAAAAAAAAGAAAAAAAAGAACACCCCATCTCCTCTTTTGTGCTCAATTAATACAACTTGGTTTTGTACTGTTCTTGGAATTATTGTTCTGGTGCAAGGGCCTCTTTTGCTTTGTAAATATCTATATTCCAATTTACAAAATGACCTTCTAGCACTTTTCAAAATTGATGTGTTACATCAGTGTTGGATGTCCATGAGATACAATAAGCAAGGATGAATATTGGAATGTGTAGTTGCTAGTCGAGACCAAATTGAGGTGTTAAGATATGTATTCTCAAAGTTAGAAGCCTTATTTGTCAGCTGAGACTAAATTTAAGTGTTTGTTTTATGTATTAATGCAAATCCTATTATGTTTTGTTTAATCCCATAAAACTCAGAGGTTTATGAATCAATGTTGGACACAATCACATGTTATGTCGTATTTCAACGAAAAAAATGATCTCTTATGATTAATTATAAGCTACAAAAATCTCGATTTCATGTGTTATATTTTATCGATCTCACTTGAAAATATATTTATAATGGACTATAAAACCTATCTCCACTATTTCATAGGACATTGATGAAATTCAATGTATGAATCAAAGAAGCGATAGTTAAGAAAGGCACTTAACTAAAGAACTTTTAGTTATCCCTTTTGGTCTGGGAATAACACCAACAAGAGGGTGACATTGCACTGCAAAGATGATTGTTATCAGATAGGAAGGCCAGACTGGCAAATTCTAATAGATATATTATTATATATAGCAGCCATGTAGGGGCTTGATATCTTGAAATTCAGTAATTATAAGTTAAAATTTGTTAGTCCAATACAACTTGCATGCCAATATTTTAAAGAGTTAGTTGGTATTTATTGTTGGTAGGAGGTGACATGTATTCTGCGGAATTAGTTGAGATTTGCGAAAGCTGGGTCGAATCAAGTAGTATCTAAATTCCAATCAAGAGTATTAAATTTGAACAAAATTTTACACAATTTAACAGACAAACAACAGTTATTGTAAGAAAAGTGGATGGCAAGATGGGGCCAAAAGTGACTCGTGATCAATCAATTTTCAAGAACTAAAAAATTTAGTGAAATAATGGACCAAAATGAATAGTAACGACCACCCTGAGGACTCCGACCAGACATTTGAAGTATGAAAAAAGCGGAGCCCAAATCACAATTGGCATAATTAGGACATATATAACAGTAGTGGTAGGGGAGGAGATAGGTAGGATTGACGAAAAATTACACTATTTATACAATGTTAAAATTATTTCCTACGTAATATATATAATACATATTACTTCTTCATATTTTGAACTCTTTAATGAAAATTTTGACTCCACCCCTTATAATACACTAACAGTTAGAAATAGAGAACAGATAGGGACCAAAAGCCAGCAAAAGTGCATCAAATGTTCAGCCAACATGGCCAAAACTTTATGGGGTAAACAAGAACATTTAAGGCTAGCTAGGCCACTAGTAAAGCCATCTCTATCAACAAGGGTTGTGGTGTAGTGGAAAGTACTCATTTATTCTTAACCAGAGGTCTCGGGTTCAAATCCTTCTAGGTATAGAGTAGCTATTGTCCCTCTAGATATGGAGTAGCTTTTGTTAGGGAGCATTTTACCCCTAATGTGGGTCTGGGACTTTCAACCGTGAATTTGAATTTAATCGGACTCCAAAAAAAAAAAAAAACCAGCTCTGAATGAAATACAAGTTGCTAGGACGATTCCAACTTGCATATTTCATTCTCAATTATATTATCATTGCCATGTCCCTATCCTTCTTGTTTGTCAAATATGGCAATCACTCTCACGTTATTAATAACCAGGATCCCCATCCACCCACCCAAAAAAATTAAAGAAGTTGTGGCTAAAAGGTCCAAAAAATTCTCCATAACATCCAAAATTGCTCAAGTCTATCTTCCGTTATACTTTCGGTCCATTTATCCTTTAGTCATTAGTCATTAATCATTACTTAGGTTTTTTCTCTATTGGACTCGATTTGTAATTGACTCAATTTTGTACCGCCCATTATTAGTATATATATAATCTTATTATTATTAATTATTATTATTCATTGTACGAATAAGTCGTGTCACTTATTTCAACTAGGAGTTAATTTCCCTCCCATATATACAAGACATGATATACCTACACATTGAGGACCACAATTCTTTCTACTTTTTTTATTTATTCGTCGGTGTCCGAAGCCCGCTTGAGAAACACAATTCTAAGCATATTTATTTTGTAAGTATGGTGAAACCACAGAAGGACGACCGTTTAGAGTCTATTTTGAAGATAATAGGTTTTCTCTATTGATTGCAATAGGAATTGGAATTTGCCAACTTCCACCTGAATATGCTATTTTATTCTTCATCCTTTTTTTCATTATATTTTTCCAGGTGGTGATTTATTACTTAGATATATAACGAAGGAAATCGATCGACAACATATACTAGTTAGCCAGAATGATAAAAAAGTGCTTACGCGATTGAAGGACAAGTATAGAAGTTTATTATCTTAGTTTGCACTTTTTCTTTGTATTTTTGCATTTTGAATCGTTATGTTGATTATAATTTTGGTGTTTTATAACATGTCACGTAGGGAGTACTATTTTAGCAAGGTTAATCTTGATTAATCTCTTCAATGTTTCTAATACCTTGCTACTAAGGGTGTGTTTGATAAAGGGGGACATTTTTAAGAAAATTATTTTTCATGTTTGATTGATCAAAAATTATAAAAAAATATTTTTTTTAAAAAATAATAAATTACTTAACAATTTTTGCTAGATCCCATCAAATAAAATTTCAGAAGGATACAACTTACAAGGATGGAATTGACGACAATTTTTTATTTTCGAAATTGCCAAGGCGAAAGTTATTCCTAATTATACAATAACTTCAAATTATCCATCAATCAAAATATGCACCAATTAAAACAGCATATAGGGTGGCTCTAAAGCCAACTTAGAATTTATTGGCCTATTAATAGACATATTAACAACAAAAGATGAGTCAAAATTATTTAATTTTACGAGTTTTAAATTTTAAAATGGCTACTTCAAGTGTTAATAACTAAGTTTTGAACTTATTATTCATACATATTTAATGAATTTATTAACATAAAATATATTATTTGAGCAAATGTTACTGAATTCATCCGAACCATAGCTGGGCTTCTAACTCCACCTCTATTAAACAATTATATACATTACTTTATATTAATAAATATATAAAAATTATAATATTAATCCTTAAATATATAGAGATATGGGGTGATTTTTCCGTCCAATTTTCAAATTTTGTGAGAATATAATCATTAATTCAGATATTGTTGGACTTCTAATATTTATTTATATATTGCTTAATCTTACCGATAAAATATGAACTAATTAATTGTAATCTAGTACTTATAATAATAATTTTTCATTGTAATCTAGTACTTATAATAATTTTTCTCTTACATTAAGTTTTAATCAACTCAAATATAATTTATTATTTACTATTAATCGTAGTGAACACTTTTTTTCTTTTAATATTAGTATATATCTCTATATATATAGTCTTTATTTTTCTTACGAAGAAGTCTGCTCCTATATATTTGCTAGGTTAGTTCTTCCTTTTAATTTGTGTTTATTTATATTAGAACATTACATATGTTTAAATAAACTACAAATTATAAGCTATAGGTTCAATGTGTTTTAGTTCACGTCAAACTAATATCTTTTGAACTTTAAGAGTTATTGGGACTTAAAATTGGCACTTGAGTAGGATTAGATTTTCTTGTAATTCGTGTTTGACAATTAAACTATTAATTTTAAAGTCTTAATAAATTTAATTTTGGTTAATTTTTTAAATTATTAAATATTAAAAAACTAGTAAATGACAATTTTGTGTATAGTTAATGGAGGGTAAGAGGTTCAAACAACATTTTCAAGGACTTTTAATATATATATAATAATAATAATAATAATAATAATAATAATAATAATAATAATAATAATAATAATTCTTTTTTTCATCATTCATATGAAGAAGTAGTGTTTTAACATGAGTCTTCTTGTATATTTTGATTTGTCACTTATTTAATTCAACTAGGACTTAATTTTTCTTTTATATATACTTGATATTTTCATAGAAGAGAAATACTATACCTATCCATCGACAAATCTAAGCATATATCTTTTTTTTTAAAGTATGGCAGAACAACGGAAGAAGGATAATTCTAAAGATTGTGAGGAAATTGTTCAGTCGTATGATAATTTCAATGATCGTGAGGAAATTGTACATAATGCATATGATAATTCTGAAAATCGTGAGAAAAATCACCATCGCTTTGTTTTGAGGACCATAGTTTTGGGCTTAACCCTTGCAATATCGGTAGGAATTCCCGGTCATCCAACTAAATATGATATTTTGTTATCCTTCCCTTTTTTCTTTACATTTTTATATGATCTTGTTTTATTATTTAGAAGTAGATAATTTTAAAGATCGTGAGTAAATTATACATGCGTATGATAATTTCAAAGATTGTCAGGAAACTGTACATGCGTATGATAATTTCAAGGATCGACAACATCTCCTTTTTGGCTAGTCCAGAATAATGAGAAGTGTTTACTCTGTTGAAGGACAATTATAGAAGTTTAGTTATTTAGTTTGCGCTTTTCTTTATATTTTTACTTTTTTTTTTGTTTGGTTGTTTAATTATAATAATAATATAAGTATTGTCACTTCTCAATTCCTTGTGTTCTTGGCCGATCTCTTCCATATTTCTGAGACCTTGATGAACATTTTATTAAAAAAATGTCAGTTGAAATTTTTAAAAAGTATTTTGGTTAATAATTAAATTGTTTAAAACTTTGGAATATAACCTTCTTAATAAAAATAGGAAAAACAGATTTTACAAATATCGTTCTACACATTAATTATATT